GAAAAGAAATGCGTTCTCGAACTCAAAAGAAGTTCTCACACATAAAACCACGATGTATATACATGAAGTTGTTTTCTTCAATTATGAAAGACTGTTTTATGATACAAACGTTTCTGATTTTGTAGAAGAAAGTCAAAGACGAAGAGGTCTTTTAATTAATACACAGTCGCATTTTACCTAATCTGTTATTATTGCACGAAGATCTTTTCATGTGTTACACGCACGAATATACACTGTGTTCATTAGATCCTATGACCATGGAATAGTGTATTTCGTGTATAGAACCTGAAGAATTTTTTCCGAGTAAGCTGCAAAGAAGTACTAAATTGACTCCACGATATGTTTTTAACAAAGAGACGCAAACTGTAATAGATAGATGTTTCCTATTAGCTGCTTCTCAACATTTGACTCGCTCGGATTTGACACTTTTTTGATAAGGACGGAAGCAAAACATTGTTCGAACTGAATTTAGATGTAACGATGAATTTGAATACTAAAAAAGTCAATAAATCCCAGAAACTATTCCAAAATATCGGTTTTTTTGAGGGGGTCTTCTAATATGTCTTTTGCGGCATTTATTCAAGGGAGGTCTTCTAATGTGTCAAGAGCTTTATTTTGTTTATTCATTCAATTGATATTAGACGAACATATTTCATAATGTAAATTCATTAAAAAAGCTCATCTTTTTATATCCACTTCAGTAATTGGCTTGTAAATGAGAAAGTAAAGAAAATAATATTTTGTATATTGTCTTAAATTTAAGCTGAATTAAAATAGAAAATATGATTACTTATTACTTATATTAATCATTCTTCGAGACATTTCTTTGTTGTAATTAAAAATAGTTTAAAATATAAAATAAATAGTTTCATTTGGATTCACGATCGGATATCTACACTCGTTGATACCATAATATAAGCCCATCACTTTGTACACTATCTTTTTTGACCGTTTTACATTTTTTTCGACAAGAAAGACAGGGTTATCATTTTAATTTTAATTTCATCATCACACTTAGTGTCATTAGATGAGCACAATCACAGTCTCCAACTCTGAATTTTCAAATTATTCAGTATGTAACCACTTCAATGTTTGAATAAGGTTTTGAAGCAACTCGTGGGTGTACGAGATAACTAGAATAAATGTGATCTTATGCACAACAGAAAAAGTATTATAAATTTTATGAAAATGTAGGAAAACTAAGTGAAGTCATTTGAATGCTTGAAAACTTTTAAAGAGAAAATGTCTTTTAAGAGAGGGTCCATGAGACAGTCAAGTACCGTACCTATAACCGAAGCACACGTCAAAATTTAGTTTTTCAATTTGATATTCTCATCTTGTTCAGCATCATCGAAAACCTCTAAATCCAAATTTTTAACGCATTTGGATAAGCTGGTAAAAAGTTACCTGAAATTTACTGACGAGCACTGACAAGGCTATTTGAAGAATATGGTCTAAAATCGTTCCTATAAACTTGAGATTTTTTTAGATAACAACAATTTAACAAATTTTTTTATGTTATATACCAAAAGATAGAGCATCGAAAGCTGAACAAAGTTACATATTTACATATCATATTTGTGCAGACTAATTCATAGTTATTTACGAAATACTGTTCGTGAGTAATCATTTTTGAAGTGAGAAAAGGGTCATTTTTTTGTAGTTTATCACAGTATATTCAATGCCATTCAGGCATTTTAAAAGATAGCATGCTGATTTTCATATATGTTGTACAACTTTTTCTCCTCTACAAAGTCATTAAAAAAAGTTTCTAAAAAAGTCTCACTTTCAGTCGAAAAATGACCGACAATGTTCACCAAGTGGATAGCATTTATGAAGAAAATCAATGGAAGTAATTTTTTTCTAACGAAAAGTACCGGTAAATAGATCTTAAACTATCTAAAGTACTTTTCATATGAATACATTATATATCATTCAATAAATGCTCTACACAAAGCAACAAATTAAGACGAATTTTACCATAAGAAGCTACTATTGTGTAGATAGGCTTAGACAGGCATCATGTCATGCAAAGAGAGACAGAGACACTGCGCAAAGTCGCTAGTGTATATGAAAAATTTATCGGCAGTTCTAGAAATCTGTAAATAGTTGCATACTTACTTGATAAAAGCGGCAGGATTGTTGGCCACAGTTAAGGAAAACCTTGTCCGTGTTTCTCCTCTTCGGCACGTAGAGCCCATCCTGCTTGAAGAGGAGGGACATTACTCGGAAAACCCGTGTCCCAATATTGTTTTGAGTGTTACTCGGAACACCCGCACTCAACAAAACAATGTTATCTGTTATTTATGGGCATTATTCGGAAAACCCGTGCCCATTTATTGTGTTAATATGAACGTTATTCGGTAAACCTGCATCCATGTTACCTTTCATTTGTTGTTAGTTGAAACTGTAGAGGAAGTTATGACTGTAGAATTCATTAAAAGAGATGACTCAAGTGCCCTCTTGGCATTCATCGAAAATTCTTCCAATACTGTTATTTCTTCAACATCACTTTCAGTATCTTGCAAGTCTTCTTCTAATGTTCGTAGTATCGAATCTGTTTCCTCATCTTCATCATTTGTACTATCAATATAATTAAGAGCTTTTTCTCTGCTGATTATCTGATCAGCTGATGACTGTTGAGTAGTTAAAATCTGTTTTTCTCGTTTCAGACGGCGAAAATATGATCGAACCTGGTTTTCACTTAAAATTTCGTGAGCTGCAAAGTAAAACTTGCCATTCTCTTTCAGAGTCTCCATATCTAGCGCTACCTCTTTCGGCTTCCAATGCTTCACGCCGAAAACGCCTTCATCAAATTTTTCTTTGAGATATCTACGCTGTTTTTCTGAAAACTCTGTGTTTGGTTTTCGTACAGGCAAAGCCCATCCTTTTGGAAGAAGATTCGCTTCATTGGCAACAGCCTCAGTTAAATTCATATCAACAGATACTATCCGTCTATTTTCAACTTCTTCTAATTTCGAATGATACATTTTCATGGCTGTATCTTTCAGTGAAAACTTCTCTTCTACATGACAATGTTTACCAATTAGTATGTGATTAATATAGTTTCCAAATTTTATGAATTCAGCATTGCAGCCCTCCTCAACATCACATTGATATATGTTATTTTGTTTAACATAGGTTTGAGCTGATTCGGTCTTGTTCACATTAAAATCGTCTACATCCATATTTTCATCATCAGGTTTCTCTTTTGTTTGCACCCAGTCATGGGCGAAACTCTCTCTTTCGCTTAAGGATAGACTGAAAATAGTTTGATCTTGGTTTAACCGCAACCAAGGTATCAAAAGACCGGAACCAATGTCCCATGACCGGTGTACTAAAAGACCTTTCACTTGATACTCGAAATTATGATAATTCGTTATTTGTTTAATCCTACAGTTACTCCTTTTTTTAAATTGGCTTTTTTCAACCCAGCAATCAGATGCTAAAACACCTTTGATGCCTTTATATGAGTGACATGCTTCGACAAATTCAGAAGCAGTTGTCACATTCTGATTTTCATTCAGGTATCTACGAACGTTTGACTTAATTACGGCAGCATAACGATCACAAGGACCCTTGCCACCCTGTGGATCACAAAAGTCAATTCGTTTGATTGTGATGCCCGTCTTTTCCGATATTATTTTGGCTGACACAAGTGTGTTAGCCGAATGATAACAACCTGCGTTATCTGATCTTACAAATGTCTTTTTTATTTGTGGATCAGTTTCTTTGACACGACATAAAACGTCACTCAAGATAGCGACGACTGTCTCACTGTCCTGTGTACACTGATCAAACACATGTACAAACACTTTATATTTGAAAGAAAGTTTTTCTTCCTGATGAATGACAGTAGTGTAATTACTGTTTTCTTCAGACAAATCAGCAATTTCCTGGTCACTGATTTGCTGACTATCATCTAAGACATCAGTGTCTTCATCAAAAGTATTATACTCATCCTTAGCATTTGCATTACCCGTCATTACAACAGTAATATGCCAACTAATGCCTCGTTTTCCGAAAAACTCTGACTGGGGTTCCCGGCTTTTGACGGGAAGAAACTTCATGACCCAATCAAGATTGAGATATATCTCGTTATTCGGTAGATTATCGAGTAAATTTTCTCGACACAAGTCTTGATTGATAGACCTTAGTAAGTGAGCTTTCCAAGCTTCAATGGATTCACGATAAGCTCGGAATTTTTTTAAAGCTCGATCCAACAGTTCTTGATCTGTTTCTGTCTCCTTGATGACTCGTTCGATGTCATTCAATGTGTTCGTTAAATTCGAACACTCAATACATGATTCATCGTGCTCATGATCACAATCTTGAGCAAAAGTGTGTTCTTTTGGATCGCTCAACGCATAAATGCAGCAATGATCAGCAACGTTGCTCGATCTCATGACATGCAATTTATAATCAGATTTCAAATAAAAACGAGCACGTTTCAAATTCTCAATAAGTCGTGCACTGTCACTACAAAGTGCGACTTTATCTTCAATCATTTTTTTAATGCCGTCAAATGCTTCTCCAGCTTCAGCGACGAAGTAGTTAATGCCTTGTAAAGACTTCCTTGTTGATGCTTTACAAGTCTCAAGGATAGTAAATAAACTACTTTTACCAAGTGGTTCAAAATCTGAACACATTTCTTTGCAATAAAGCAGATACTGATCGATAATACGGGTTGGTTCCATATTTCTTATCGTATTTGGAATGAACAATTCAACTACAGATGATAACTTCAACACTTTTTCACCAAACGGTAAATCCGTACACACATGAGATGAAATAATAAAATCAACGAAATGAGCGATTTGATTATCATCAAACCGTTCTACTACTTTTGATGTTGTGTCTATTCTCGAACCAACACCATATTTGGCAGCATGCATACGGGCTGCAGAAAATCTGTAACCAGTTGAACCTGGTATGAAGAGCTGCATGAGCTTAAACGATATTTTGGGTGCAACGATCGAGAGAATTTCTCGTCTCGATTGCTACGATTCAGCATTGGTATATGCTTCTGAAATACCACTCATTATTTGACGAAAATTTCCGTCTAAAACAATATTTGAATCTTCACTGTTTACGCCCTTAAATGAGTCATGCATAAGCATGTCAGCATCATCTGATGCTATCAGTGACGTAGCTGATCGTGTTATGAGTTTTACTAAACTTACATATCGCAATTTCACAAGATGTGATAGATCCTTATAGGAAGCTGTCACATTTACTTTTCTTTTACTACCACAGGCAAAAAGAAAACTGTTCAAAGCTATCATTTGTTCTTTCAACTTTGCTTCACCAATTGAAGGATCAAAAGGTGGTTGATAATCAAGATCTTTATTTTCCATGGAGCCGTTTCTACAACATATTGACTCAGGATCAAAAAGACATTCAAAAGCATTGTTATGAAGATCTAATTTTTTTATACCTGTTTTGTTCGAAACTTCCATTCGACACTTTGCACAAATCAGTTTTCCGTAGGAATTTCTCAAATTGAAAGATTCAAATAAAGTTATAGCTTGGTTTATAGTGATGTTTCGTAAGGCACTTTTAGCATATGATGCTGTTTGTCTTACTTTCTTACATGCATCACATCTACTGTTTGATTTGGAAAAAGGAGTTGGTCGCACAAGTACTTTGTAATGAGCATCATAAACGAAAGCATTCTCAACAGCAAACATCTGCTGAAAAAACATATCTCCTCTTAGAAGAATTACTTCTAAAACATTTTCAGCTTGAGGAAATGTTTTGTTATTTATAGCTTTATTTTTCAATTCTGACAACGTTATCCAAGTTTCCTGTTTTGAACAAGAAACTTCATCACAACATCGAGAAAAAAAACACTCGGTGCTATTCATATTTAATGAATAAACAACAGCTTACGTAACCAGTTAATGTAATAAAATAATCGAATTCAAATTTGATTTATAATTGTTGAATTTAAAATGATCACGTTTATGTTCTATAGAACGGAAAAGTAAATTTTTATATGATTATGTGATTTACAAAATAGACAGAAAAAGAAAGACAGATGTTGAACGCATGGCTATACGATACTTCTTTATTCTTCCTCCCAAGTCTTTTTCGGTTATATATGTATAGATTCACCCACATAATTAGACAATTGAATATTATGTTATAGAGAGATGACGAATCTATAGATTAAAAATTTGGAAATTAGCCTCGAATTTTATACATAAAAGACAATAGTCTAATGCTTCAGTGTGGAGCTTATATTTACTGGAGAAAACAAGTATTAATTCATTAGTTCACATCCAGCACATATTGATTCATATAAGTCGTGCGTATCTGGAAAGTATTTAGATGGTTTATAAGTCACTCTGAACTTTTTTTTGAAAAAAAAAGCTAATAGGAATTTTTTCTTAGGAATTTTATCTGATTAGCAAATATTGCTGGTGATTTTTCGACTGAAAGTGAGACTTTTTTCGAAACTTTTTTTCATGACTTTGTAGAGGAGAAAAAGTTGTACAACATATATGAAAATCAGCGTGGTATCTTTTAAAATGGCTGAACGGCATTGAATATACTGTGATAAACTACAAAAAAATGACCCTTTTCTCACTTCAAAAATGATTACTCACGAACAGTATTTCGTAAATAACTATGAATTAGTCTGCACAAATATGATATGTAAATATGTAACTTTGTTCAGCTTTCGATGCTCTATCTTTTGGTATATAACATAAAAAAATTTGTTAAATTGTTGTTATCTAAAAAAATCTCAAGTTTACAGGAACGATTTTTGACCATATTCTTCAAATAGCCTTGTCAGTGCTCGTCAGTAAATTTCAGGTAACTTTTTAACAGCTTATCCAAATGCGTTAAAAATTTAGATTTAGAGGATTTAGATGATGCTGAACAACATAAGAACATCAAATTAAAAAACTAAATTTTGACGAGTGCTTTGATTTCTTGATGGTCTCATGGGTGCTCTCTTAATTCTGGGCGATCTTAGCATAACCATACACAAAACCAGCAGAATTCTTCAGTTCTCTAAATGTATAACCCATTTTCTGATTCACTTCCATTAAATCAGTTTTGAGAAAGTGTGTAAAAATACATGTATATAACAAATAATAATTATTTCGAACATGATATAAAAAATTCTCAAACAAAATAATCTACAATGTTGCCTGAATCGATATACAATGATAGATATCATCAACATGTTAAGTTTAGTTTATAAATATCACTTATTTGCCATGTGTTCTCCTTCTGGAGCATATGTTGACTTTTTTTCTTCCTTTTTTTAACGGTTGAGTCTAGATGAAGAAGACAAAAGTGACGAATGTAAAATATTTTTGTTGTAATCAACAGGCACATGGTTTGCTGTTTTATATGAGAATTAAAGAAAAAATAAAAACATGATGATTACCTGTGCAAACTTTTGTATTTGATCGTCGGCATCAAACTTCTGCAGTTAACGAATCAGTAAAAAGAAATAACCATATTTATCAAAATGACATTGTCTCTTGATATACTTCCTTGCGAACTTGTCTACCGGATTCTCGATCATCTTAATATAATAACAATTATTCTATCATGTCGGAATGTTTGTACCCGTCTTAATGCTATCATCGATACTTATAATCGGTACCATGTAAATATTATTTGTATATCCAGATTAGTTTTGAATTATGAAAACATCCTATATGAATAGAAAAGCATTTGATCTTGGATGGTTTTGCTAGTTCCTTTTCGAATTCTAAATCTATTTTAGTATGGAAAATAGTTTTTCGAAGAGAAATCTCAGTTATATTTATGGTTCTCATTTGATATTTTCAAACAGACACCTATTGTGTTGAATTTTTCTCAAAAGCAATTCAATCGTGGTAAATTGGTACAATTATGTCATGTCTTACATAATAATACTGTATGATTTTTTCATTATTCAATTTATTTTTATTGTTCTTCTTTTGTACAGACAATAGCGGAACTCGATCTACAACAAAATGATATTGATTCTAATGACTCAAAATATATTGCTGCTGCCTTACAGAATAATGATGTAAGACTAATTTCAATGTTTTTACACATTATACAATACTGTACCTTTGAACTGCACACTTTCTACTTTATTTGAGCATTTTCTTTCCATTACATACATACGATGAATCATCAATAAAATCCGTATATATTCCTAGTGCAGCCATTTTTATCGTAATGTTAATGCTATCTTGTTGTTATGCAAATTTCAATTTTTTCTTTCTTATTTTTATCAATCCTACATTCCTAATCAACCAAAACATTGATAAATGAGTCAAACTCTACTAGAAGATATTCTTCATTTGAATAAGATAATTCATAAGTTAAAAATATATTTCTTGAATCATTTTTTTTACCTAAATATATATATATGCCATAATTATTCTCATCAAAAATACACTTCTATTCAAGTAATATTTCTACAGAATAAATTGTGTTAGTTAAAGTACAATTAGTACAGTACCTCATTAATATAAAATTAGGTTTGTGATATAGTATTCATAAATATAGCCATTCATGTTTATTCATGAATACAGACACTTACTACTCTAAATCTTTATGCTAATAACATTGGCTCACAAGGACTTCAATATTTGGCTAATGCACTTCATCATAACCGAGTAGAAACAATCCTTTACTCTTACATAACAGATTGAAATTTATGTTTGAATGTAGGCACTCAAAATTCTTAATCTTGGTCAAAACAACATTGACTCAGAAGGAGTTCAATATCTAGCTAAAGCATTACAAATTAATCGAGTAGAAATAGTTCTTGATCTTTTTCACATATTTGTCTTTCTTCTTTTTTTAAACACAGACACTTACACAATTGAATTTATATTCTAATCAAATTAATTCTATGGGGATGTCTTATCTAGCTGAAGCATTACAACACAACCAAGTAGGAAAAATATTTTTGTTCATTTTCTTGTAGTTATTATTGTTACGCAATAAAGACACTTATTACATTAGATCTATCATTTAATCAAATCGGAGAACTCGGATTAAATTATCTAGCTACCGCATTACAAAATAATAAAGTAATGTAAGGTATCTAAGTTTTTCTTTATCTATCATACTTAATATAGACACTAACAACACTGACACTATCAAGCAACACATTGAACGGTAACGGAGCACAATATATGGGTAATATCTTAGAATACAATGTAGTAGCACAATATATAGAGATCTTTATCATAGTTATCTTTAAAATATTTAACATAGACACTAACAACATTAAATTTTACATGCAATCCATTTTCTGGTCATCGATTCAAATATATGGCTAATGCATTAGTAAATAATAAAGTGAGACATGCTATATAATGGCATCTTTTCTTCTATGTATATCAGTGAATGTAGACATTAACAGACTTGAATCTTACATGGAATGAGCTTGGCGTTAAAGGGCGTTTACAATATTTAGCAAATGCATTAGAAAAAAATCATGTAATTATAACTATCTAGTTTTCTGTCTCATATTCAACTTTCTCATTTTATATAGACCTTGATCAACCTAGATCTTGGTCACAATCACATAAACTGTCAAGGGATGGAATATTTAGCTAATGGATTACAGAATAATCAAGTAAGATAAGTTTTCTTATCATTATTTCAAACTCTATTATTTTTATTTATTACAGGCATTGAGATCGTTGTCTCTTGACTGTAATGACGTTGGTAGTGAAGGAGCTCAATATCTTGCTAATGCTTTACAACATAATACGGTTTAAATGACTTTTATAACGCTCTATCTCATACTACTGGCTCTTATTTATTTACAGACACTTACGATGTTGAATTTATCTCATAATCCCATCCATAATGAAGGAGCACAATATTTAGCTAAAGCACTAGAAAATAATGCTGTGCGATAGATTCTTGATTCATATACTTATATTTGATATTTTTATTTATTATTTAAAATATAGACACTGGCATCATTGTGTCTTATGTCTACTTCTATCGGTTTTGAAGGAACACGTGCTCTTTATGCTGGATTACGAAACAATCGAGTAAAGCAATTAGTTTGTTTTTTTGACGTTATATTTCGTTTTTCTTCCATTCAATATAGACACTAACATCATTAAATCTTTGGGAAATTCCGATTTGCTCACAAGGAGCACAATATCTAGCAAATTTATTACAGACGAATAACATTGTTAGAAAAAGTTTCTATCTATTTTTCTTATACTTATATTATTCGTTGTAGGCATTGGTGGAACTCAATCTTAGTCGTAGTATGATTGATGTTGCAGATATTCAGTATATATTTAATGCATTGCAATATAACAATGTGAAATAAGACTTTCATCTCTGTATCTAATATTTATTGTTATCTTTCAATATAGACACTCACCTGTCTCAAGCTTAACATTATCAGATTTGGTTCAGAGCCTATGCAGTATCTAGCTAATGCACTAATGCATAATACAGTAAAATAAAGACTTTATCTTTTAATATCCTACCTTTCTAATATTTCTACTCAGACACTCACGATACTTTCAATGGGAATCAATGGTATTGGTCCTAAAGGAGCACAATATATAGCTAAAGCTTTGGAAAAAAATAATGTAAAATGAGTTGTTTATTAGTTTACTTTTGATTAATTGTTCTCATTTGGTATAGACTCTAAAGACACTACAACTTTCCGTTAATGGAATCTGTGCTGAAGGAACCCAGTATCTTGCTAATGCATTGATCCATAACAAAGTGAGACAAAATTCTGTGTTAGTTTATTCATTACTTTTTGATATTGCTCAACGCAGGCATTAACAATGCTAGGTCTTGCAAGCAATAGAATCGATACCGAAGGAGTTCGATATTTAGCTAATGCACTATTAAACAATATAGTAAGACGAATTCTATATCTCTTTTTCTTACATTTATATATTTCTTTTTATACAGACACTCACGACATTAGATATTGCAGGCAACACAATTGGTTTAGAAGGAGTTCGATGTTTAGTAAATGCATTGCTAGTAAATAAAGTAATTCAGACAACTTGTCTATTTCTTTCTTTCTTATTTCTTTTCATTAATCTCATAGACACTCGAGACGTTAAAATTTGGAAACAGTAACACTCCAGAAGAAGAACGGCAATATATGATTGATGTATCACATTATCTGACCGCAAATGTGATATGCGATTAATGGTCATTGAAATTTTTTTTTCTCAATTTTCTAAATCAAATGATTTACTCTTTGTTGTACTACTTTTTTGCCGTGATGTTTTGGTAAATTTTTTCTGAAAATTTCAAGCAAAATCAACATATTGATTGCTGCAACTTCTCAAATTGATACAAATTGTTTATGAGCACTTTTTATGAGTGCGGGTGTAGATATGAGTGGAGTCATAATATCACTTAACGTAAACCCATAACAACATCTACACTCAAACTCACACTCACAGGTCGACGAAAAACCCACGTCTGCCCACACCTATACCCAAAATGCAAACGCTGTTTGCATTTAGATACCCACATTTTGCTGGCTAATACATAAATTTCTTATCTCTATGTTTTGAATTGCACAACATACCCGTCAAACTCAGATTTCATTCCGCGAAAAGCGTCGTAGGAATGTATCAGTCGACGAATACTTGGTTTAGCCTTGCTCGTTGAAAGATAACAAACAAGATCTGCTCAGTTATCTCTTTTGTTGGCATCGATATGGGGGAGACATAAAAGGTTGCAATAATATCGTTCTTACTCAAGCCGCCGATGGTGAGGTGTGGTCGCGAATGTTATCTGCTTCTTATCCTACGCCCCACATCCAAACCCACTCTGGAAGTATCCAAGGGATAAGATGTGCATAACGAAGGCCTATGCTTGTATTTTGAGAGTTTATTGATAAGTAAATCCTTTGAACTGTAGAAATAATATCCCATTATCTTACATCTATTAGAAAGTGCTCGAAAACTTTCGAGTAATCTGTTTTTTTTTCGAGGTAAACGATAATATGTGCATTATTGCCCAAGCAGTTTAATGAGGTTAGCTGTTTTTAAGTTTGACTGAGTCTTCTTGAATAAATATTTATGTGTAAAAGAAAATCAAGTACAAAATGTGCTTTGACAACAGTTAGTCATGGGAAGAAAAAGAAAATTGTATCTTAGTGAAGTTCGACAGGTTCCTCACTTAATTGATCAGTCTTCAATTGTTTTAACATGAGTTTAAGACATTCTAATTGTTCTATTGCTTTTGATGCTATTTCATCACGTTCAGGAGATTCCTCAGGCATTTTCTTTGCTAATGAACGCAAGAGTGCAACTTGAACATGACCAATTTGAAATTCTAGTTCGTCAGCAAGGAATATCTGGTGGGTAGGGCGCTTCCTATATGTTTGTTTAATTTCATCGATTGATGTTTGATCACGACAATAAATATATTTATAAGTACCGATATATTCCGGTTGCCAATCCATGATAGGTGCTAATTGAGTATCAGGGAAAAAGAAATGAACATCTAAATCTTGATTGATATGATCGCATATATGGTTACGACAATGGTGAGAGTCAATACAACGAATAAATATTCTTTTATCAAATCTATTATCATACCATTCATATTTATCAACAGGATCAAAAAAAGTCAATACTCTTGCTCTAGCTAATGCCATCAAATCTAAAACTCTAAAAATAGACATGATTAGAAAAAATATATTGATGATAAATAATGTTTTGTTGGAGATAAAAAAAAAAGTTTGTGTTATTTTATTTTATAGTCACTATAAAGCAAAAGAATGTTTATGATACTTGACGTTGTGTTGATTTGATGAAGTCTTTAAGACGATCGTAAAGTTCTATACCTCGTTGAAAATGTTCACTAGCAACAGCTTTGTCACCTGCCTTAATATATTGATTGGCAGATATGCGGCAATGGTTAGCGGTATCCAATACCCATTGAACAGCAATTTGCTCTTCATCGTCACAGAATATGCATACTTTGTCAAATCGATTAAAAAACTCATTCCGTTGTTGTTTTGTTTCAGGTGGTTTTCCCAATAAATAGATTGATTGAATATTATCAAAAGATGAGATTTCTGTAAGCATTCGATCTCGCTCACTGACAGAAATAGATGAAACTTCGAGTATAAGTTCCTTTATTTGTTGGTATGACTTTAGTTTATCATTACATTCATCTATGAGAATTGGAGACATGAGACAACCATTGGTTATGACCTTTAGAACAGAATATAAAGGAGATTTTTCTAACGAAGGAAGAATAAGAAGAACAGGATAGATCCATCTATAAAGAAAGTTAATTATTTAATTGAAAAGATTATACATAGACTTACTGCTTGTCGATCTTTTTCTCACGCTGTTTTTCACTGCTGAATGTAGTCGTGCATTCATTGTCATATTCTTGAAATATTTCCGCTGGCGAATGATTAGGATTAATACTATGAGCAATGGAATTAATGGTTTGTGATGGCTCAAGAGCCATATCTTCGTATTGATTAGATTCTTCCAATGTTGTTGTCATATTGTCATCACTCAAATTGAAGGATGTATCATTTGATAGAAATGATTTTGATTTTAGTTTCAGTACTGTCTCCAAAAATGATATTATTTTGCCAATATTCTTCATAGAGTTACGTACTTGGTCTATATCACGTTTTGTCTTAATTAGTGATGGATGATTTGAAGCAAGTGATTTTTCCTGAATTTGTAGCGTCTTTTCAAAGTATTGTAATGCAGCTGAGCAGTTTCCTGTTAATCGATGCATTTCTCCAATATTGTTATATGTCTCAGCCAATCTAAGATCATTTGGATCCAGAACATTCTCTTGAATTTTAAGTGCTTCTTGGTAACTATCGCGTGCAAATGAGTAGTATTCTCTAATAGCATGTGCTCGACCGATATTAATGCATGTGGTCGCTATTGATAGATCATTGACTGGACAAACCAATTGTTGAATTTTAAGAGCCTTCTTATAAAATGGAATAGCACGTAAGTAATCATTCATAGAACAATACGCTAGAGCTATATTGTTATATGTATCAATCAATGCTGAGTCACTTGACGACAAAGATTTTAGCTGAATTTGAAGTATCTGTTCATAACAAGAAAGTTCTTTTGAATATTCTCCCTTACTATGATATATCAAGGCGATGTTGCTGTATGTATTAATCAAGTCTGAATAATTATGTGGAAGAATTGTCTGTTGTATTTCAAGTGCCTTTTCATAAAATGAGAGCGCTTGTAAATAGTTTTCCATTTTGTTATACACTAAGCCAATATTAGTATAGGTGGTAATCAAGTCTGGATGGTTTGATGACAAAGATTTACATCTAACCTCAAGTGTGTTTTGTAAAAATGACAATGCTTTTCCTAGTTGATTTTTTTCAATAAGCATGTTTCCGATTTGATTGGAAATATATTCGAATTCTTTTATATAATCGTTTGATAACATTTCGAATAGTGCATCGTAAGTCTCTTCAAATTGGTCGAAGTATTCCATCTTAATTAATAAGTTTCCCAGACGATGCAATTCATTAGAATCTTGTATTGCTTCACGTAGACGATTTGTAAGATGTTCAAGCTGAGGATTAAGGTTATTTGCCATAATCATCTTCACATTCCACAAACCATTATCAATTTCTGTAATTTCGTTTACATGAAACGAAGTATGCATTGAGAAGAGAATTTCGTTCTTACATGTCGAGCAATCATTAACTATTTTCAATGGAGCAAATGGAATTTTCGAAAGTGATGGTTCGATTTCCATATCAAAAAGAATTCCCACTACATTTGGATTGTTACGAGCATCATTAACCCATTCTAATGCCACTTCTCGATCAGTAGTTGTGGACAAGAAATTGTTGAATGACAAAAGATTTCCTGTAGTTTTTTTCATTTTTTCTAGGTCATCTTTTGAAATCTTTTGTCCCCGATAGACAACTAGTTTTTCAGTTTTATTTACTGTTGAGTAAACTTGTTTGATGTGTTTATGAAGATCTTTCAAATAAGATCCCATTTTAATGATACTAGTCACGTCTTGTGCTCTTAATGCTCTGTTGAGTATGAAGTAAATAGACGGCATTTTAATGTACAATTCAATAGGTGAATAATGATTATAATTTTTTTCTTTTTCATCAATTCTACTAAAATTAAATTCGTAGTTCAGATAGTGATCGCGGTATAATTTAAAAAAGTTAGTTGTTGCTTTTTCATTGTAATTCATTTCAAGAAGAATCTCCTTTAATAATAAAGAATGCATGCATGTTTGATCGAATACATTTAAATCAAGAGTAGAATCGGACGAGAATATATTCATTGATATAAGATCCTGTTCGTATTGCCAAAACTTTCGTTGAAGTTGATTAAACATCATGATGATATCAAAGAATATGCCTCGTACTTTTTTGTATTCTAATAAACTTTGTTCAGGTTTGATTTCTTCATTCGAAAAAATGTATATGGAATCGACTTGATGTAAATCATTTATAAGAGGTACATAAGTCATATCGATATTGTTTGATAAAATAATCAAAACTTTGTCATCTTCAATATTTCTCATAAATTCAATACATTGATCAACATCAGTAAATAGTCGAATGGACTTAGTTATACGTTGAAATTGAGTCATTAAATCATTATATTGATTGTCATATTCATTCACGCTAGAATTCAACCATATGAGAATAAAATTGTAAGGTACACTTAATTGTCTATGCTTTGACGAAGTCGTTTTATAAATTAATTCTTCTTGATTATTATTTTGTGTCGAATATGCTGTTTCATTAGAATAGGAAATCGACATTTCAGTTGTCAGTAGATCAACAGTACTTCTTAATGTAAATTCTGCAGTCTTTTGGTCAGGTGAAGATATACTACCTTTTGTGCTAATTTGATTTATTTTGTCGGCAGAAAAAAAGAAATTTCTTTCCAAGTAAAAAATAAATAAAAGACGTTTTTCTTTCTGTTGACTGAAAATATGCAACGAAACGTCGCTTTCATCATGTGTTTACCTGTTTTCGTCTCACCTCGTTGCTATCGTCTCATTTTCTCTGTTTTTGTTTTATGTGTTACTTTCGTCGTTCTTTGAATAAATATTTATCATACTAGGGAGACGATGACACTGTTTTCGTCACGAACCTATATCAAAGTCAGGTAAATATTATTCACTACTACGTATTCTCTAGGAAGAAGAAAAAAAACCATCTTTTTGAAGCTTTATTTGAAAGAAACATCGGAAGAGATTTTTTATTTTTTATTTGATAAAAAAAAATCAGTAAACAAATCATTTCTAAAATGTTGGCGATATCTGATTTATTCTATTTGAACAGTATCACTTCATTTATTTACCTTTCAACACCTTAATGGAATATCAAAACTATTCATTGTCATTGTTGGAAGTATCGTAATTGTAAATTTCAAAAGTTACTACTAGTTACTTTGTTTGTCAAGCATTAAATATTTTTCAGAAATTCTATTTCAAAAAAGGCCTTGTTGACGAAAAAAAATTTCATATATAAATCTTAGATTGAAAATACAATTGAATAAGTATAATATTCAACTTCTAGACTTTTTCTAGAAAATTTTTCTGCTATTTATCAATTGATTTATAAGTGGTAATTAATTCAATTAAAAGCATGACAGCTGTGAACAAGATGGATATCTATGAAAATATTTCTGTCTAGAATCCAATCATTTGAATGAACAATTATATATGTGATCTGTCATTGTCTGATATAGAGCTTATCGAATTTGTATTGATTCCCAGAGATGAATAGATTCACGTTCTAAATCATAAATTCATGTAAATAAGATAATTCAAGTCGGCCGATGATATACAATAACAGTACAAAAACAAAAAACATCATAAAAATCTGCTCACCTATGGGCTCTATATGAAAAAATGGAGGCGTATGAGTGTGAATGTAAGAGAGAGATTAATATGCATAATCACACCCACATCCGACCATCTAACGGATCTTTTGTTAAAAATTAATATGTTATCATAAAAAGCTGCAATATGTAAAGCAACTCATTTTTGATTATTTCGTATGAGATGATCATAAGCATCATGTTGAGTGAAACTTTTAACACATGTCGTCATAAATTTTTCATATCTTCATCATGCTTGTAAGTAAATATGATCATGAGTTTTATATCAAAATGAATTAATTTTAGTTCATGACATAAACGCTCTTTACTATCATAACTAGATTTTAAGATAAAATATACTTATTAGTAAAGCTAATTTATCGAAACTTTTTTTTTCCTATTGTACCCATTGTTGTTTCAAATTGTTAGGTTGTAAATGTGGGTTTGCTTGTGTGGTTGAAGAGAAGGCTCCAGTCCAGATCCACATTTCCAAGAAACATCTGATTACCTTGTTATCTTTCTGCAGAAAATGACTACGAAATTCGACACATTGGTCTGTCCGGTGATGACTCAATGTGTAATGATGAATCACGAGGACTAATATATACGAGAAAAAAAAACAGTCAAATCTGATTTCTTTGAGTTCTTGGTTAGATAAGAAGGTTAAACGGTTAGAATTCGATTCAATTTGAAGGATCGTACAATGTAGTACTAAGATCAGCTTGAATGTATTGAATATGAATATTATTCTATTGCATTATTTCCTTTTGTTGTACTCTTGTCGTAGTGCAAAGAAAAATTACAAGAACATATTGTTAACATACATCAAGTGAGGTACTGACCTCTGGATATGCAGGTAAAGAAAAATAAAAGTGTGAGATTAAACTTGTACTTTTGTTCTGATGGTAGATGTTTGAAATTATGTCAAACAAACACTCGTCTACAATTTATGGAGTGAAATGAAGACTACACCTGTTGATGAATTATCAGTTATTATTTGTGAAAGTATCAAAGATCATATTGCTTAGTTTTGACAACTTCAACAATTGTCCCTTCCGCTTTATTTCGAATGAAACCACGTGCTATCCAGGTTCTCAATTTGCGAACGGACTGTCATGAACTTCACCGGTTGTGACCGGTGCAGACAGTGGAGAGACGACTAAAGCAGGTGCTACCATGTTCGATTTTATTAATACTTTCGGTTTTGTATCGACCATCTGTACACTAGGGCTTCTATGATCAGAACTATGAGTGCCATGTGTCATCATTTCCATGTCATTATTATCGTTCTGAAATAAAACTATATATTTATGAAATAAAATATTCATATCAACATACCTGTCTCTTTTGAAAAGCTTCATGATTGACATCACATTGATGCGATCCGTGCCATCGTTTAGGAAAAATGCTACAACAGATAGCACTCACTGATATTATCAATTTTGGATCGATATCATGTGGTTGAAGTGGACCAGTTAAATAGGAAACAATGATACCAACGAGTACAACGGTAATGACTGCAATGGGTGTGTACCACATGTAGCTCACCGAATAGAGGTCAATGAGAGGATCGCGTCTATATGAAAATCATAGTTTTTTTTAAATAAAATTAACTGATTCGAAATATTCATATACTTAATCAGCCTATCTATTGATCTTACTTTAAGAATGTAGGTATCGTTGTACTTGTAGTCCAATTTGTTAATGTACTATTTGTTATATCAGTACAATTAGCTATCGATAACGGTAAAATAACACTTGTCATCTGTCTTTTTGTAATTTGAACCCCTAAAAAGATCCATAGTTCTAAGGCTAGACTTATGAAAAATCCAACAAGTCCGCCTCGTCGATTCGCCTGTGGAAAAAAGAAACCAAGAACAAAGACGCCCATTATAGGACCTTCGAGGACGCCAAACAGAGACAATGTTGCATTGAGTATCGATCCAAGATAGCTGACCACATAAGTAAGTGACATGACAAAAACTCCGAGCACAACTGAGACTATTCTGCATATAAAGCCTTGTCGTTGATCGGTCAATTGTCTACCCAAAAGTCCTTTGTAAACGTCTTCTACAAGTACTGCTGCTAGACTATTCAATCCAGATGAAATTGTAGAGAGTGAACCAGAAAAAATACAAGCAAGAAATACACCAGGTAGACCTTTCTTATCGCCCAATACTTCCATGACAAAATACGGAAGAATTTGATCAATTTCTTGAAGTTTTTTGGTTGTATACGGATCACAATCGGCATAATATGCATAAATGATAACTCCAATTAGAGTCGAGAGGAAAACAATCAGTGCAGAACCGACTGCATTCATAAATAGTGCTTGTTTAGCACTACGTGTTGAACGAATACACATATAACGTTGTACTTGTGCTTGATTAAATCCATAGGTAGCAAGTGCATTGATTGACCCACCGATGATTAATGACCATATTGTATGACGAGTACGAGGATCAGCGCTAACACTGAAGATATAAACACAACAAAATTTTATTGAAAGGAATCCCAGCTAGGAAACTACGTCAAACTAACGATGACTCTTCCGTGTGATAAAAATGAATCTTCATGACTTGAAAAGTGGGAAGGAGCTCACAACTTCCATCTATTTATTCAATATGTACAATCAATAGAGAACTTCATGTTAGATACATCCTAAATGTTTCACATCAGTTTCTTTTCTTTAGTCTGAGATATGGTCGGTCAAAGACAAATAGTTTTATCGAAATTTTATCTCTTGATATTCATGGTCTCTAATACAGCCTAAGTTGGGTTCAACGAAGGAACTTATCATCACATTCTCCATTGTAATGATTCAGTTTCAAGAGACACTTTTGTACTTTTCTACCTTTCAGCCGTGTTAGAAACATTGTGTCAGTTTTGCTTGTATGAGAAGCCAGAGATTATTTTCTATGGATTCTGAGAATGGATATCACCATATGATTGTCGATCTTGGTCTGAGAGAAATGTTTTGATTTTTTTATTTGTATGCGCGAAACGAATGCTCTTATTGAATTATACTCAAGAGCAAAATATTAAATTACCTAGCATTGTCTCTACGACATGAGTGCTGAAATATTTCGTTTAGCCGGTAAAACAAAATTAAGATAGCGTGTGTTAACTATTTTGATCATTCAAGCTGCGGGATCTCTCAATTGATAGGTCTCGCCCTAGGCTATAGATATGACTCATTCACATGTTTAATGTAAAAAAAAAAAGCCCAGTTAAAATGCTACCATTTTAGACAGTACTTTCTCGTATGTTAACCTAGGTCTAGCTTAAGGCGTCTCTACTCAGGACGTATGAATGATTCATATGTATAGCCTAGGATACGGTCTATCAATTAAGAGGCTCTCATTTCTCACAGACCATACTAAAATGATGTTATATTTTGAATTTGAGTATAATTCGAAAGGATCATTTGTTTCATGCATAGAAACAAAAAAAAATCAAAACATTTCTCTCAGACTCGAGGGACAAAATTACGATAAAACTATTCGCGTTTGATCGGCCATATCTCAGACTATAGAAAACAAACTCATGTGAAATCGTCCAGATATATATGTAACAAGATGTTCTCTATTGATTGCCGATATTTAATAAAAAAGTGGGGTGGAGAGCTAAAAAATGAGCTTGTCGAAATGGTATACCTATCAAATTCAATTCTGCCGCCTCGTGATGCTATGGAAAATGTTCGTTTAAAACCACCGAGTGATATCAAACCTTGAATGATGACTGCTAAAAGACCAACAAACATGACTATTGATTGTAGAACATCGGTCCAAATGACTGCTTTCATACCACCCTAAATACAGATCAAGAAATAGATCAAATTGGATTCTCTGATATCTTTGAATTTTACCACAGAAGAATAGAACGTGCAAATGACACCGATTGAAATAACAGAAACCCAAATGTTCAAACCAGCAGCTAAAGAAAAGCAATATTAGGTTTTTTTGTCGAATTCTCGAATTTAACATTTTTCTACTTTGACTTAATGCCAATGCGGGTCCGTATAATACAATGGCCATGTAGATGAGCTGTGTATGACAAAGATAACTGAACCTATCAAATAAATAAGCTCTTACCATGATCAATGAGTAACTGAATGAAACACATAAACGTACGGTTTGATCGAATCGTTGATCTAAATACTAGAATATCTCTTTCTTTTCATTAAAAATTTGAAACAATAAAAAGAATACTTCGTAGACACTTGTAAAATTCATTGCACGAAATTTAGGCATAAATACGAATGCTGTCACTAGTGAAGCGATTATTAGCGCAATCCCTAGTATAACATAGAGTTTAGTAATCAATGATTAGAAATTTACATTCGATTTACCTTGATAAAAATACATTGTACCAAACATGTAGACTTCACTGGGTGTACCTAATAAAGTAACAGCCGAAAGGAACGATACCATAATACTGAGTGCCGTCGGAAACGCCTGTATAGAATAAATGGAGACAATTTATTGTATAGTTCTATACTTACTCCCATACGTCTGTCAGCTGTAAAAGAATGATACTATTACGTACAATTACTGTATCAAGAGATCAATCATACCTAGGAGAAATTCTTGTGCTGAATTCTTGTTCGACTTGAAAAATCCGAATATAGCACCAATGACAGCCGATGATAGAAGAAGTATTACAAGAATAACATAATCGACAGCGCTCAATTTATTTGGTGCCATGCTTACTAATAACAAATTTTATAAAAAGTACACACTTGTTATTGATGGCAATGATCGAAGAGTAGTACTACGATAGTCTTGGATATATGAACCGTATTTGATGAAAATATCTGTGCTCCTCACGTGCTTCGGTCGCCGTAGCAAAGAGAGAAATAACTTGATGATATATACGCAAAGATAGATAATAACACAAGATTAAGCACGTACTGTTATTGTGTTCTGTCCTTTACTTGAGACAAATAGGAAAGAAGTTTGACGATAACAACATGATTGTTGTATATTCGTCAGCGCATAAACAATAAATTTCTACCACATCCCGAATTTACCAAACCGCACGTAACCAATCATTCACAAAAGAAATCAATGATCAGCATGAGAAATCTCGACTTCAATTTCATGTAATGGCGATACACTGCATAAAACATAATCGTCTTTGTTACTGTTTCAACTATCATCAAAGATGAAAAACTATTTGAAATCTTTATATAGCGTGGCCTGCGATCGATCACATCCGTATGCTGAAGATTCAATATCACAAAAGTGAAGAAATCTGTCTCTACAATCGAAAGTGCACTAGCGCGAGATTATCAAACATGTCGCAAGCTCTGAGATACTCAGCAGACGAGTGAGTTAAGTTCGCTTTTTCGTTCGACAGATGTCTAAAAGAGATTTATTGCCTAACCTCATCGGAAAAGTATACTTTTGCACATTATTACATTGAATTTTTTATCCGAAAACTCGACAGAAGTTTCAATGTGATTTCGTTATAAGAATAAAACTGTCTTTGCACAATTCATGACTACGAATGAAGATGATTTCTTATCATGACCATTTCTGGATGTGGGTGTAAAGCATGCCGACGGATACAGCCACAGGCACACCCACATCCTAATTGTTGATAAAATATGAATGAAAATTTGTCGTCAACCTTATAAAGGCATGCATCGAGGAAATATGAAAATGCGGAGAAATTTAGAATTTTTCCTGCCAATCAGAAGCATCTGACAATACTGCCCAAAAATTTGTTATTAATAATGATGATAATGACTTTGAATTATCATTAGATATTAAAGATATCAATACATAGTAGTCATGTAAACTGGTTGTGTGTTCGAAAGGAGCATGTACACATATCATAGGAGCTCTATGTTGGTTATATTGTAATATTAATGGTACGCCGATACTAAATTATAGTACTAAATTAACTGCATTGCAATACAATATTACAAATCTTCAACTGTTTGATCAATATTGAAGACAACGAAAAGCTAATGATGATGACGCAATTACAAATGATGATATGAAGGGCACTAATGGAATTGAATTATTTAATAATAAATTCTTCAAAGATAGTTATTATAAAAGAAAAAAAAGTAAGACATTTTTATGTCGCTAAAATAGATATTGTTTTCGAATAATGTATTAATAAAGGTGTTCGAATAGATTTAAAATTATTATTTATTTTCTAAATGATCTTGTACATATATATGCTCCATAATATCTGGAAAGAATAGATTCTCAGACGAAGACATTAATTTGAGTTAAAATGAGAGTAGAACATAATAAATTTATCTTGGATGCAATTAATTTTGTTGAAAAATATTGCTTAAATATTTTTCCTTCAGAAAAGAATATTAATAAGCCGATACTGAGGTATTTGTATACTTCTAATATACTTTCATTTTATATAGTTTATTTTTAATACAAGAAAACCGATGGTTTTTAATCAAGTCTTTTACTATCACTCTAACTCATCAACCAGTTCTTTTTAGTATGATCGAATATTGTAGCAAGAATAAATTTTAAGAAAAGAAGCTTGAATACATGTTCGATTTGCAATACTAATTGGTGTTGTTAAGTGCACTTTCTTGCTTACAGAAGACTGGCAGAGAAATATGGGCCACGTTCCTTTACCTACGAATACAAACAGAACAATTTCTGCGTACGGTTCGATATCGATTAATGAATAGTTGTTCTTTTTCATTTTTTTCGTGTCCTTGCTCGATGACCAGCAACAGCAACACCGTTTACAGTATTGGAAATACTCTTTCTGTTCTTTGTTATTTCATACAAATCAATGGCGACATAAATGCGTGAAACTATTATTCATTCATTGAATACTAGACTATCCTCATCTTCTTCTTTTTCTTTCTGCTTTTAGATAACTGTATATATTATGTCCTTCTATTCATATACATTTGATTGGTGCGGACAGGAACGCACTCAGACACATGTTCTCTCTGTTTGCATGCTCCTGCTACATTTGAGAATAAAATAGAACTCAATACCACTAATGCTCCCACCTTATTCTAGAAATTTTCTCTGTGTATCTCTCTCATCTTTACCGGTATTAATAGAGGATACTCTTATTGCTATTCATTCATTCTCAAGATAAAAAAAAACATTACACAACTAGATGTCAAGCAACCAAGGAGGACTTTCTGGCGCTACAACCAGACAGACGACTGGTAACCGTAGGTAAGCATATTTTCTTTTTACATCGAAGAAGAATCAGTACACTTCCTCTTCTCTACATCACAGTGGAGGTTGTAGTATCATGAATCTACCTTCAGCTGGTTCAAGCACGGCTAATCCTTAGGAACCACAGCGTGGCGATCCAGGTGCCGATGCTGGCAGTGGCACCAATTTACCTGCTCAATCCGCTACAAAAGATAAGCAATCAAGTGGTGCCGGCTCAAACTGAACTGTTGTGACAACGAATATGGGGAACATAAATGAACTCTCTCCTTTCGTATATACACACGCACACATGTTTCTGCTCAGTTTATTGTTTCTTTTTACTGTTTAATAATAAACATTTACACAAGCTCACTCTCTGATTGCATCGACAATTGCTACTGATAGTGATGGCTTGGTCGTATTTTCTCTAAAAAGCACCCTTGGAAACCATTATAGGATTTCAAAGTTCACAAAAATTTAACAGACAGCATGATAAATGAAGACGTCCGAACGGATTAAACACATATCGAGATTTTAAAAGACGTTATGGAAGCTATCACAGGTTCTAATAAGTGATCTGTTCAAAACGGTAGAAAGAAGTAATGAGTTTTATACTGCTTACCATTTGAACTGTGTCAATATGAATGTCAATGCATGTGTAGCTTGAAATCGGAAACAATGATTTTCCATCGAGCGTTTTCTATCGAAGAAGATTGGTGCTTATTAAAAAAACCAAAACGATAAGAAAAAAAACGTTTGAAGAATAAAAGAATGTTCATCAATAGAAAAACAGTACAATTTTTTACACATGGTTATTTTCAAAACACTGGTAAAGATGTACCTCTTCGATCAATGAAAAATAAAGGACGAGCTTTTCTAAAAAGAAATTTGATACGGTTTTTTAAAGAAAAATAATTGAAGAAAAGATAACTCATCATTGAGACAAGAGACAGAGAGGATTAACGGAAAGTTTCATTTGCCTTTTGTTGTTGTATTTTTGCATGTGAGTGTGTTTGTTGTTGAATAAGATAGTTCTCAGATATTTATGCAACGATTTTTTTCGATGCTTTGTAAGGACCACCAGCAGGTGTATTCGAAATTATTCCTTACATTGCACATTGATTCATTTCATCATTAGAAGACCTATGAAAGTTTTCAAAGGATCAATGGAAAACAAACCGAGTTACTATCTAAGATACAAATCAATCTGCTAGTCTAAACTTTTGCTTTGTAACTATTCATTTCTTATCAGAATAAGTTCACTGAAAAATTGATGTGTTTTGATAAGATGAATTGAATATTTGGAATTGAATTTGCCGACACGTTTCGTTTTTTTTTTTTGTATAAACATTCAATAGAACTCTCTATTACATATTTTAAGCACAGATAAGAAAAACAAAAGCAACAACAAAGAACAAAAGGTGG